TTACCGAGAAATAAAGGTGATGCGGTGACTCAGTTAAAATACTCTCAAATCATTGAAAGCCTAATGTACCTAATGAATTGTACTCGTCCTGATATAGCTTAGGCTGTCAGTAAATTGAGTAGGTGCACTAGTAACCCCGGAGAAGACCATTGGAAAGCGATCATTCGGGTTCTTAGATATCTAAGAATTACCCGTGATCATGGTTTGAACTTTACTCAATATCCAGCAATACTTGAAGGTTATTGTGTTGCCAATTGGATATCGGATACTAAATATTCAAAATCTACTAGTGGATATGTCTTTACTCTGGGAGGCGCTACTGTTTCTTGGAAATCCATGAAACAAACATGCATCGCACGATCCACAATGGAATCTGAGTTCATTGCTTTAGACAAAGCAGGAGAAGATGCAGAATGGTTTCGTCATTTCTTAGAAGACATTCCAATGTGACTAAAACTTGTGCCAGCTATTTGCATTTATTGTGATAGTCAATCTGCAATAGACAGGGTACAGAATCATATGTATAATGGTAAGTCACGACATATTCGTCGTCGATATAATACCGTAAGGCAATTGCTTTCAAATGGAATAATCTCAATAGATTATATAAAATCTAAAGAGAATATTGCGGATCCGTTAACAAAATGTTTGACAAAAGAGCAAGTGTATAGTTCATCAAAGGGGATGGGATTAAAGCCTATTACATAAGAGTCATCATAATGGTAACCCTACTTCTATGACTGGAGATCCCAAGAACTAAGTTCAAAGGGACAACTAAGTTATGTGTGGCTCGCCAGAAATCACCAAGGGATTAAATTTCCCTACCCATTCCTATCGTGAGAGGTATATCTACAACATGTATTGTATGCAAGGGTTTAAGGATAAGCTTTGCTTTTAATGATTACTTATATCTTGATTTAGGCATAAAGATCAAGACGAGTATAAGAGAGACTCACAAAAAGAATCACCTATATAAGTGTCAAACTGAGGCCGGTTCTATGAGAATAAAGAGGCTAAATTCTTTAGAAGCACTCATGAACAACCAGGAGTGTTCAAGGCCAAAATGAACGCAACCGTGAGAAACACAATGTGTTAGAAGATATTTTGTGTGAAATTTATTGTCTTGGCTTACACAAACAGCTGAACAATTCAAGGCATCGCGTTCATTGGTTAGCTAGTAAGTCCGATAAATTATCACTAGGGAAGGTTCAAGGCCGAAAGCTTCCTATCCTGTTGCAAGATATTTTCAATTTATACTATTTCGAAATTTTTTGCATATTGTTGCATTTTTGTTAGCATCAAATTCCATTCATGTGAGGGATTGTTAGAAATGGGTTTTGGAAGTTTTGGAAAAAATAAAATTTTTCCTCAACTTTGGTCTAATTTTTAGGTGGGACTCGTGCACTGAATTTCACTGGTCAAAGTGGTAACGCGTTCTATGCCGCGTTGTGATTCACGTGGTATATTTGGTTACTCAAAACCATTATTGGGTGAATGGGAGATTGATGCCAAAGTGAGCTCCATGGAAATGAAGTTTTTGGTGGAAATTCCTTAAGGTTTGAAAAAACGCTTGTCCTACATTGGTTTGGTGGGAAGAATTTTATGGGTTTACAAAGCTTGGGATTGTAACTTGGGGAGGGCCCCAAAGAGAACCCCAAGTTTGTAAAAGGGAGAGATTATGAGCAAATTGGGTTAGATCCATTGGAACTAAAAATAACCATACACGCGCGCGCCGCCGCCGTTGTTTGGGCTGGGTGGCCCTGGGCTTGGGCGCAGGTTCGTGGTGTTGGGTTGGGTTTGTTCGGCCCAATACTTATATTTTTAGGCAAAAAACAATTGAATTTATTTTTTAATTTTTAGAAAATAATTTTTGACCGTTTGAATTCAAATTTTGGTTCAAAAATTTGCACCATTTTGTTTGAAATCTGTCTATTCCATCTGTGTAGATTTCAAATTTGTCCGGTTCAGTTCAAAAACCCTTACCTATTTAATTTAAAATTCAAACAGATTTATATCTGTTTAAATTTAAACCGAACAGGTACCATACCTGTTGGATTCAAACCAAATAGTCACCATTCCATCTATAAATAGGCAGCCTCTCATTTGATTCTTTTACTCCAATTTCGTCCTTAACTCTGCCTACTCTCTCTGAATTTTGCTACATTGTTTTCTTGTGAGAAAGAGTATAAACACAAAGTGTGTTCGTTGTGCAAACAATTTATAGTGCTGCTATTGTTTGCTGTTGGTCATTTTATCTTGGGAGACAGATGTCCACATTCTGAAAGTACCATGGAGAGGACGAATCTGTCTTAAGGATAGAGTATTAAACACTGGACTTGATCAGAAAATTTGTTCAACAAATTAATTTGGTAAGTAATTAATTTACTTTTTTGTTTTATTATTTTTTCTGTTTCAGATTTTGATTTTGTTATTTTGTTTTTGTAACAAAATAAAAATCTGTTTTATTTCATTTTTCTGGTTTGATTTTTGTAATCAAACAAACTCTCTCATTTTCTATATTTTTTTTTTGTATTCCATTTATTGTTTAGCACACAAAAAGAATTTATTTCATTAAATACAGTGAAGATTGTCCGACACTATCAAAATTATTTAGGGTTGGTTTGGCATAGGCTAGAAAAGATAAAGTTACAAAATTATTTAAAAAGTTATCATTATTCATAAAAAAAAATACAAAAAAAATAAATTTACACAAAAAAAATTACAACCCAAAAAGTCATTGACATGATGGTACAGTCTAAACCAGGTGGTACAAATTACCTAATCGGATGCACAAAAAATTTACAAAAAATGGTGTTGTTCGGCCCGTGGGGGTCCACCACGGGTCCCGTTTTGATAATCAGAACCATTCAATATGTAGAACTTGTCGAGTACTATATGCCTCTAAAAAATCATGTCGATCAGATATCGATAGCTATGTGATCAAATCAGATTTTTTTCAGCCGTTTATTTTTATTCGTCCTTTTTTATACAAAACTAATTTGATCAGATAGCTATCGATATCTGATCAACGTGATTTTTTTACAGGCATATAATAGTTGACGAGTTTTACATATTGCACGGTTCAGATTATTGAAATGAGACCCATGGTAAACCCCTCCAGTCCGATGAAGGACAAGAGAAAAGTCTCATCCTATATATATAAATCAGAAGCATGTCAAAGCATTTGTCACTATGCATAGGGCATAGGGGTAAAATAATAATTTTATTATTTTATACAATATTTCAATACATATTTATTTATAAAAAGTCAAAAAGTAATCCTAAATAATCATCTTTTTTTCTCTCAATTTTTTAGTCTAAACAGTCAAAAAATACACATATTTAGGACATCTCAAACAATCTCTTAGTGTTAAATTTTCCTTCAACATTAAATCGTGTGCTCGCCTAAACACTACCCATTCAACAATGTCATAAGAAGAAGCAAATAAATTAAATTACAACAATATTACATGCTTAACAAAACTACTCAAAAAAAATGTATTTTAAACCACAATCATATCCATAAGTGACCTACCAACTTTAAATATATCCCATACACTTTATTTTCGAAATAAAATTTAAAACACAAATTCATGGTCACCGAATATTTTCAATTAAAGAAAGTTCAAAAGCAATTAGTTGGTCATTGATGTTGGCTTTACACACCGAGCCAGCCCCCATGTCCCACCACAAGTACATGATGATCGTGTCGTCCCACTAAACACATTTAACAGACACATCGCAGGCAAGATGACAAATTAAGGTCTGCTTAGTATTATTTAAATAATTCTTGTTACCTTAAAATAAATAAATAAATAAATTACAAACACTCTTAAAATATAAATTGGCTCATGTAATTTCACTTTTTAAAATTTTTAATTTCATAACAAATGACTTATTTTATTAATAAATTATCAATATAATTAATAATTTTTAATGATATTAAAATTTTATTTCAATTAATAATTCAAGTAATTTTATTATTATATAAGAGCATCTCTAAGAGAATAGTTAAACAAGGTTTGTTAAGCATTTTAGCCAATATAAATCTAATTTTGAGCTCCAATGGGCTAGCTATTGAGATAGCTACTTTACCATCTTATTTTTTTGATGGCTACAATTGAAAAGCCCTAGAGGCTCTCCAAACAATTATGTATGTATATATTTTAAATTTTTGTATATTTATGTCTTGAATTTGGGATTATATATATATATATATGTGTGTGTGTGTGTGTGTGTGTATGTCAATTCTATTTGATGAATTACAGAATAACTTATTTTGTATTTTGTATTTTGTATTTTTTTTCCTCATTCTACAAGTTTTGTATGTTTGTATAGGCAAATTTATTATTGTTTTAATTTATATTAGTAAAATATCAACAATTAGTATTTTTTTATTTTAAAAATTAATTAAGTTAGTTTAAATGATTAGCTAAAATAAAGAGCGCGGTTGGAGAACACAATAGTTAAAGTAATTAGGTAAAATAAATAGTGTACTTTTTTTATATTTTAGCTAGTGAAAAGTAGAGAGTGTGGTTTGAGTTGTTCTAAGAGAACAGTTGGGAATTTCTTTTTTTTAGTTATTTCTATTAAATAAAAAAATTTAACAAAGGATTATTAATAATTTTTTAAATTACAATAATAATTTATATTTTAAACAAATTAGAAGAAGCGCGGTTGGAGAACACAATAGCTGAAGTAATTAGGTAAAATAAATAGTGTACTTTTTTTATATTTTAGTTAGTGAAAAGTAGAGAGTGTGGTTTGAGTTGTTCTAAGAGAACAGTTGGGAATTTCTTTTTTTTAGTTATTTCTATTAAATAAAAAAATTTAACAAAGGATTATTAATAATTTTTTAAATTACAAGAATAATTTATATTTTAAACAAATTAGAAGATGCATTTATAATTTATCTTAAAAAGTATTTAAATAAAATAAAGCTGTACGTCCACAAGAAGAGAGAGCGTTCTTGGTAGACTTCGGAGTTATATATATATACCTATCTGAGGAATCAAAGACTCACATTGGCCATATCGATACCAACACCATCTCATCAAAATCTCATTCTCATATTCAAATCAATCGTTGTTTTTTTTCTGACACTTAAGAGAATTTCTTCTTCTAAAAATACCTATAATGTCTAGGATTCATCCAGATCTGAATCGATTCCAAGACTTGTTTGAGAAAGTGAAAGACAATGATAATCAATTTCAAAATCAATATCGAATTGATAATAGTAATAGTGGAAGTGATGATCAAGTGTTGACTGTGTGGAAGAGATCGAGCATGAGTTTTCAAGGGACCGATGGATTCACGGTTTTCGATAGTAGCAGTGGACGATTGGTTTTCCGAGTAGATAACTATTCCAGGAAGGATCGCTTTGGATGCAGAGGAGGACTAGGGCTTGTCCTCATGGATGGATCTGGAAAAGCTTTGCTTACCTTGAAACCCCAGGTAATTAACCACTTTCCTCTGTATAATACATGCTCAGATCAGAGCACTAGCTATTATGTTCATGTACATAGCAAAAGTAGTCGAAGAAAAACACGACACACAAGATCTGCTGTTAAATAATTTTTAACGGCGTACTGCGACATGCTATTAAAGTGAATAATTTTTCATGACTAGTTGTTGTACAGCTTTACATTGTGTGTCCCAGATCCTCACCACAGTGTGCATTTCATATTTGTTAGAAGTGAGTTTTGTTGTAGTGAGAGGTTTCAAAATTTAGCTTGTTTTAAATTTTTTTATTAGAATATATATGAGATGAAGCAGTCAGTCTCCAGACTGTATAATATATTTATTTGAATGATTTGTTATTTTTGTTGCTGATTTTCATCTGTATATATATATATATATACATGTTCGCTCTCCCAACCAAAATCAGAAAAGAAAAATGTTTAAGTGCACCTATACATATATATAATGACATGTAAATTAAAAAAATATACAGAACAAAATGGTTTATCATTCTCAAGACAAATTATGAATAAAAATTTTGTATAAATAATATTTTTTAAGTAAACAAATAACATTTTCATAGGAAAAAATTCATATACAATGATCAGGCCAATATTATGTGAGGTTTTATACTAAATATCAAAATCAGATCATATTTCATTAGATTATTGAAAATTGAGGCTTTGAACAATAAAATTTTTTGGAAAGTCTTGGACGATGAGTTAAGTGGCCTAATAGTTGAGGAATATGATGGTCATCTCGTTTCCGAAAATGTTATATGTTTTATGAATTTTATATATCTAAAAATTTGAAAGTATTATATATTGTTATACATGGAAGAATGAAAATTTGAAAATATATATTATGTATGATAACAGGCACAGATATTGAGCATGCAAAATGTGTGGAATGGATATGGAGGAGAAGCAGGAGGACACAGTGGAAGAAGCCTAAAGTCCAGAGAATTGTTGTTCACGATGAGAAGGCGATCATCTGTCACCACAACCACCACTGTCACCAAGGAATGCGAAGCAGAAGTCTTCATTGGCGGTGATGGAGGAGCCAAGAGTCGTAAATCAACACCGGATTTCAGGGTTGAGGGATCGTTTAGAAGGCGAAATTGCAAGATCATCAAGTGCAGTTCTGGTGGCGATGGAGTGGTGGTTGCAAAAATCGAGAGGAAGAGAGTGAAGAACTCAACAATGTTGTTGAGCGATGATGTGTTCAGTCTGGTGGTGAAACCGGGCTTCGAAACTCAGCTCCTGATGGCCTTTGTAATTATTCTAGATCGTATCTGTCCTAATAAGCCTTTCACTCCTCTTTTGTGTTCTCATTAATCAATCTATGTATACCTCAACAGAAATGTATATATTTGTTGTTATAGCTCATGAGATAATTCGATATAGGAGTTTGTTTGGGAGGTGGATTGGTTTTTTAGCTTATTTTAATTTGGGATTAAAAAGCCTTGTTTGAAATGATTTTTTTGACTTTTGTGAGAAGAAAAATAAAATAATTATGATTTGGATGTGATATTTTGTTTTATTAAATAACAAAAATATATGTTACCTTTTTGTGACTATTTTGGAGTGTTTTGGGAACATAATTATAAGTTTTTTTTTTTTGGGCTTTTAACCTATTTTGAGTTACATCACCTCTCATATTTTTTTAAAAAAAATAAAATTTTTCAAAAAAAAAAAAAAAAATTAAAAATCAATTTTTAATTATTTTCTCAAAACACCCCCTTAAAGCCTATCCAACCTAACTTTCCAAACAAGTGCATTTTCTGTTAAATTTCATTCCATTTCATTTCATGTGCCTGATCACCCTCTTCAATTGAATTAAACATTTAATTTATGAATATTTATTTAAATCAATATCATTTATAAAATAAATTAAAAATTTATATTCTCAAATTTAGGGCAAATATAAAATTCCTCCTTTAATTCAAGAAATTACCATTATCCTGACTAGAGTTTGTTATATAAAGGGGAGTAACAATATTTATCAATGCCATATTCTTACATTGCCTTGCTAGGATTTTCAACCCCAGTTGTAGCATTATTCATATTAATTTAAATAGAAAGGCTCCGTTTGTTTTGACATAAAATATTTTATACAAAAAAAAAATATTTTTATTTTTATTTTTTGACGTTTAATTAACACTTGAAACAAAAATATTTTATTATCTAAAAGATAAATTTTGATTTAATAAAATATTATTTATGACTTTTTAATTAATTAAGATATTTATTTAAAAATGTTAAATGTATTAAAAAGGTACTGAGTTATGAAATTATTAAGGATAAGTATTTTTTGAAAAAATAATATAAAAATATTTTTCTTAAAAAAATATTATACTTATTTTTTGTTCGACAAAACAACGGAACATCACAAAACAAACAAAATCGAAATGAATGGAGGATTCTATCTTAAACTATTGATAAAAGATTGTTTGTCTCGATATTCTGGATATTGTAGAGCCCATCATCAACGAGTCAAGATCCCTTCCTTAATTTTCCTCCTTGACTTCTTACTTGTGAGGTTATTGGGTCCACTTTTAAGCCCAATTTCTATAATTCGAACCATTCATATTTTAAAATTTGTTGATTATATCATACCGCTACAAAAAAATCAAATTGATCAGATATCAGAAAGTATGTGTTCGGATTATCGAATTAAAAACCATTTTTTAAAAAAATTAATAAACAATTTTTCAAACACATACTTTCTGATATATGATCAACTTGATTTTTTTACAAATATAATATACTTAACAAATCTTAAAATGTGAACGGTTCGAATCATCAAAATTAAGCCTAAGAGTGAACCCAATTACCCAGCAAGTAAGAAGTTAAGGATGGGATCCTGATTCATCATCAACACCCAAATCTGCCAAAGGGAACTACTAGACCATTCTTGTTGGAGCTGAGAAAGTTCTGGCAAAGCTGACTGGTAATGGTCAGGGATTCGTTCCATGATGACTGGCTTTGATGGGATTGAGGTTTGCATTTTTCTTAAAAGAAAAGGAAATGAAGAACTCATCAGGTTCTATCAAAATGGACACTTAGTTGACCGTGTGCCTCTCTCCAACCGCCCTTTATGTCCGCATGTACGTGTATGTCTGGCCTTGATGGGAGGGTAAAAGGGAGACGAGTGAGGAGATGAGATAGGGGAGGGGAAGTGGGGCATTGTGCTGGGGAAAAGGGGAAGAGGAGTTGAGAGAGAGAGAGAGAGAGACAGGTCCATTTCTTCGGGTTATTTTGGTATTCATAAATATGAATAATTCTATCTACCTTCATCTACTCCAAATTTATCCCGAATGACATTGTATAATTATAACTAAATTCTTGCAGTGTGAAATTTATATATAAAATAAATCTGAATCACAATATAATAATTCTAAATAAATTCAATATAGATAAGGATGAATTTGTAACATTATTGATTTTAATATACATGGGGAGAGTGTGCGGTGCTACTTGTCCCACCAAATCACTTTGGACCTCCTCCTTCTTTGGATTGGACCCCACCTTTAAACCCTAACCCTATCCTCCATCTTCACCTCCAGCAGACATTGCGCCCCTTTTTAGTAACTTTTTGACTAATTGGCTAAAATAACCTCTTGCCAAACGAGGCCTAAGTATTGTAGAGCCCATCATCAACGAGTCAAGATCCCCTCCTTAATTTTCCTCTTTAACTTTTTACTTGCGATGCTATTAGGTTCACTTTTAGGCCTAATTTCTATAATCCGAACCATTCATATTTTAAGATTTGTTGATTATATCATACCCCTATAAAAAATCAAATTGATCAGATATCAAAAAGTAGGTGTTCGGATCATCGAATTAAAAACTATTTTTTAAAAAATTTAATAAACAATTTTTCAAACACATACTTTTTGATATACGATCAACTTGATTTTTTACAAATATAATATACCTAACAAATCTTAAAATGTGAACGGTTCAAATCATCAAAATTAAGCATAAAAGTAGACCCAATTACCCAGCAAGTAGGAAGTTAGGAGGGAATCCTAATTCATCATCAACACCCAAATCTGCCAAAGGGAACTACTAGACCATTCTTGTTGGAGCTGAGAAAGTTCTGGCAAAGCTGACTGGTAGTGGTCAGGGATTCGTTCCATGATGACTGGCTTTGATGGGATTGAAAAAGGAAATGAAGAACTCATCAGGTTCTATCAAAATGGACAGTTAGTTGACCGTGTGCCTCTCTCCAACCGCCCTTTATGTCCGCATGTACGTGTTTGTCTGGCCTTGATAGGAGGGTAAAAGGGAGACGAGTGAGGAGATGAGATAGGGGAGGGGAAGTGGGGCATTGTGGTGGGGAAAAGGGGAAGAGGAGTTGAGAGAGAGAGAGAGACAGAGGTACATTTCTTCGGGTTATTTTGGTACTCATAAATATGAATAATTCTATCTACCTTCATCTACTCCAAATTTATCCCGAATGACATTGTATAATTATAACTAAATTCTTGTAGCGTGAAATTCATATATAAAATAAATCTGAATCACAATATAATAATTCTAAATAAATTCAAGATAGATCAGGATGGATTTGTAACATTATTGATTTTAATATACACAGGGAGAGTGTGCTCTGCTACTTGTCCCACCAAATCACTTTGGACCTCCTCCTTCTTTGGATTGGACCCCACCTTTAAACCCTAACCCTATCCTCCATCTTCACCTCCAGCAGACATTGCGCCCCTTCCAGCAATAGTGCAACCCCCGCCACACCCACCCTTTCCGGTGACCCCTCCCCAACCAGTGACCCCCATCTCCACTGCAACCCCTGCCCCACCCTCCCAAATCAGCAACCTCCCTTCCTTACCCCTGCTGCCCCTCACTCTCTGTGTCTCGTAAGTAGTAAATAGAAGATGTATATTTCTAAACTAAAAAATAATAATAATTAAAAAACTATAAGCAACTCCATAAATTACACCAAACAATCCCAATCAAATGTCATAGAAACTCTCTATTTCTCAAAATATCAAAACAAGTAAAATAATCTAACTTCAATACATACGCTAAATGTGTGCACACTGCACTTAGAAGAACAAAGATGCATACTCTTGAAAGAGATTTAACACAATAAAATACAAAAATAAAAAAAAAGGCTAACATAAAAATGTTGTCTATTGTATTATCTGCTGACCTTTCAGTATCTGCTTTTTGGCTCAAAGTCGTTCGCGTCTTGAACACAATTCGGAATATTGCGTCAGCGACATAAGCTCCATAACTAGACATTATCTTCAAAATTGGGTCTCAATCATGTCACACCCACCCTATTGAATAATCTATCATGGAAATGTACTGTAACAGATCTATTTAGGTCAGTAAAACTAATGCAATGGGCACTTAAAAGGCTCCCCATGCGTGTAAACCAGACTTTCCGAGATTCAATAATTAATCACCAGAGACGTAAGTCTTATCCTCGTAATACCTTCTCTCACTTTCTGTCTTCCTCTCATTGCGTTTCTGAAGAGAAAGGAAAATGCAATTTAGTTACATTCAATCCAGATAAATGCCAATTTCAAAGTTGATAAAAAAAAAATATGCGCCAATCTCAAAGAAAAATAGATTACATCAAACACTGAAATCTACTTTCTGTTAGGAAATGTGGAGACACTTTCCCCAATACTGCTTCAAATGGGAAGTTGGGGGGAAAATTTTGAAACCATGGAGGTACAAGACTGGCTCGCACAAATATAGTGCATGAACCACTTGTACTTTCATAAGTTTGAAATTATTCTTTTACCTTCATGAGTTTGAGATTATTCTTTTACTTTCATGAGTATGTAATTATTTTCCCCAATTCCCAATTTTTTTACATTCCCCCTAAAAACTATATATGGCATGGACTTGCCATTCATGTTACTTCCTCTGCCCTCAAACTCAAACTCAAACCCACATTCTCATGCACTCTTATCTCTATGTGGAATATCCAATAATCATCACAGGGTTCTGAATGTCATAAGAACCTTCAAGTTCATAAACCAAAAAGAAAAATGCAACAATGACAATGTCAGAGCAAGACAAACCAGATATGCCTCGTGATTTGATACGATTCTCTTTATTATTGTGCTAGTAGTGATATCCAAAGGACTATCCAACAATTTAAAGATGCCCATACTAATTGGAACATCATATGGGTTGCACTTTTCCTGTAAGAGAAAAACAAATTACTATGTTAAAATCACAGCCTCAGTAACAAGTCAACAATTGTATGAAAATCAGAGCTAGCAACCATTCTCATATACCTTTCGAAAATCATTATCTTCAGCCACCGTTCCATGGACAACTAAAGAGATATTGAAGGTTGTTATCTGCATTAACAAAAATTTCCAACATGTAACATATGATTGTCAAGAATGAGATTAACTACAAAATTGGCGATGAAATACTAAATTAGACGATTAGGGGGAAGGGGGAGGGAGGGAACAAGCTACAAATTAGACACTTTAAGCAACTAAAATTTGGATAAAAATCTATATGTTGTCAATTCAATGATTAAGAACTCATGTTGGGTAAAAACATAATGGCATGTGGCATGACAGTAACTTTAAGTGCAAAAGCATGAACAAGAAGTTCATAATATTTTTCCACTTTCTTGAGCTTTCACAAAAGTACGACTACAATCTATTGTTCATCATCTTGGGTACAGTTGGTCTTTCTTAGCCATCCAACCTAGAGCTTAAATTTGGTTAAGATTTTAGTCAGTTAAAAGCTTTTGATTTTTCCAAGCATTAACAGTAGATATGCTCTTCTAAGCAAAACCTTTTTTTGGGGGGTTTTCTGTACTCAGTTTGACACACTTTTTAGAATAAATCTGAACCGTAAAACTTCTTTCACCATTCAAAGATTTGTGAGTCTTGTCAAAAGTATGTGTTACTGGTCAATAAAGGGGGAGAATAGGACTTATCGACTCTTCTTATTTGAGTTTTTTTGATAAATAAAATAAAAACTTTGATAGCATGACTACAATAGGACTTGTAATTGGAATCCAATAATTAAGCCCGCTTCTGAAAATCATTTATGTTCAGTCATTGGCAAAGATGGTGATACAGTCAACATCCATACCATGCCATGTAAATGACATACTATCTTTCTCCAATATCTTAAATCCCTTTTAACTATTTGTATGTCACGCAGCATCTCAATTTTCCATATTTTCTGTTTCTCACAACAACAGCAACATTGATATAAAAAGGGGGAGGGGGTTGAAGGATGAAAACAGTAAAATAGGCAACAAAGAAATTAATAATACTGTTTACAACATAATATTGAAATGAAACTAACCATGTCTCTTGACATTTCCCATGTAGCACCAATTATCACCTCATCTACATAACGACAAGCCAAAACACTTAAGCTCCTTTCATGAAGATTCATGATTGGGCGGTGTGCCCCTCTGTGTGCACTGCAGGACCCGTCAATTAATAAACACAACAGATAAGCTTTCTTCTTTGAAGAAGTTGAAAACAAATTGCTTACCCAAAAAAGAGTAGAAAACAAATCAACTAATGCACTAACAATGCAGCTGTCAAAGCTTCCAAAATAAATCATGGATGTAAACTGCAATTCAAAAGTTTCCATGTCCTTGGCACAATTTCACTTTTCTCTTTTATCACAATAATTAATAAAAGAAATTTTTTTTACAGGTCCCATAAGATAGACTTATAGTAGACTATCCCACAAAATCCTTAACCCATTAATTCCCACATGTCAACCCATGAACATAATACCAGTATTTTGTTAAACTGTGAGATGCCCACATAACAACCAAATGATGTGTCAAGCAGTTACTTCCTTTTTTTTTCCCCTTTTTTTGAGATGCCCACAGGAGTCGCTATATCTTTTGCACTACTACTCTACTGCCATTCTAGTCTTAAAAGTTCTTCTCTTTTCCTTTGGCATCTCCACGCTAGAGTGAAGTCTCGGGAGTTCATTTGTGCTTGAGAAACTATGAATTTCCCTTTTTTACATAATTTCATATTCAATATTAATTTTATTTGACAGGTTTCAACCAGTAGATTCCAAAAATATAAATTTTATCAAAATTGATGTGTACAATGAAAGTTAAGACATTTTAAAGTTTGAAACCAGAAAAATAACTAACTTGACAACTCAAGAATGCCATCAACATGAGTGTTGTTGAGCACGTAACTTAAGGGCATGCTCCACTAGGGTCAAATCAGTCCAAATATTCACTAAATTTTTTTAAAAAAAAGAGGTATTTAAGTTATCAAGAATCAAAGTCGGGGACCTCATGGGTAACCTGCTATGAGACCTATCCATGGGACTTGTCAACAAATTTCCCATAAAAGAATTCTACACAACACAATCTTGACTAATTAAGAAGACATGATGGTGAAACTTAGCACCCCAAGTGTTTTAAAACTCTCATGCATTGAGAACAGAAAACATAAAACAAGAAATCATGATCAGCATCATCAGCCATCTTAGCATGGGGTTTATTGCAATTCAAAAATCAAACAGGTAAAGAAAACAGCAGAGGAAGGGGGAGACGAGAGGTAGAGAGGGAGGGGTTTGACCTGACAGTTTGATCAGTATGAATCCCAACAAGTAAAAAATCTCCAAGCCCCCTTGCAAGCCGCAATATCTGTACAAAATCACAAGTCATTATCATGACTCAGAAGAGTTGCATGCCTAACGCATGTGAACATGAATGAGAACACTGGAAAAGATATAATATTTGTTTTTGACAAATTGTAATTCATAGGAATTCAAATAGAATAAGAACTTAAACGTAGATAACCCAAAAGATCATGCAACAACAATTGCAAGTGGAGGAAGTGAAAAGAAAGCATCTGGTTTTAAAAGACAGATTAAAGCATAGGTATGGTTGGTACAACAATGAGATTGGAGATTTTGAGTTCAGCTGAAACTCGCAGTTACACCTATGGCCATTTATTATGATGATGTTACTCAACATGTTAGAGATTTTGGACAACCAAGGGAAAAATGCCAGTGAGGAGTATTTTACAACTGTCTAGACCATAAATTTCATGATCAGCTATTCATCCGTAAGAATGTAAAACAGATCAGGAATACCACATACCTCCACATGTCCAGCATGAAAAAGATCAAATGCACCATCTATATAAACTATGCGAGCATCTGGTCCAGGACCCTACAATCAAAGCACAAAAAAGATTCAAGAGTCACAATGTAGACCTTTACGGCTATACTTGATGACAACAATTTAAAAAAAATAATAACAACAACAACAGAGGAGATTTCACAGGATAAGAAGGAAATTTGAAACATGACAAGAAATAACTAGACGCAGTAAGAGACTGAAGAGAAAATAAATAACCTAATAAATTAAATCTGTTACAACTATAAACCCCAAATGCCTTTTTCCAAATCAATATTTATCAATTTTTGAAGTGCATATTTCAGCCAAGAAATAGAATCCACTCTCGAAGCCAACCAAGAATACAAAATATAAGTATAAGCCTTTCTATATTCCCTCTCGAGAAATGGAAAAAATCATATAAATATTTTATAATCCAAGTTTAGCTGCTCAAATGACCAATAGACCAAGTTTCCATATCACCTATATATACATATGTGCAAACAACCACTTATGAAAAATCCAAGCAACTGATACAAATGCGATACTGCGCATATGTAAATGACTTTCTAGCAGCAATATCTTAATGGAACCTGTCAGTTTTTTTATAAAACTCAAAAGATGACACTAAAAAGTTGGTCTAATATTACTCAGGTAATGATAATCCATATGCAAAACTAATTTAAACAAAGGCAATTGCCCATCACTGGTCGAACTAATGTGATACTGCATAAAGCAAGTAATAGTACTACAAACAACATAATTAGCGATGCGGTACACAGTAAACTTTTGCAAGCACTGCTGCTACATTGATGTTCTGTAATTAAACCGTAATAACATGAAGCTAACCACACATAACATACAAAAGAGCAAAAGAAAGAAAATCAAAGAAAATACAAACAAAAAGGAAGACATATTTGGAATCATTTTTTAAAACAGTTATATATTCTCAAAAAGTGATGGCAAATATGTAGGGCATAATGTTTTTGAAAACTGTTTTCAGGAGAGTTTTATGAAAACATCCCAGTTTTAGGAAACATTTTTATTTTCATTTTTTTAAAATTGTTTTCATACAGAAAAATGGAAATTATATTTCCCAACTTAATATTTTTTGGTTTCCAAAACAAACAAATAAAAAAAGGGGAAAAAAAATATTGAAAACCATACCAAACTTGCCCTAAATAAAGACTAAAAACCAGAGTGAGGACACAAAATTTGGGAAAGAAAGGACCTTGATTGACTTGACATCAGATTTTAACAATGAAAGGACAGTGTAGGTAATAATAAGTACCTTCCCATTGGAGAATTGCACAATTCTGCGAGATGTAGGTAGAAACTGAGAAATGCGTGTTCCACTGCCAGATCCACTATCTTCAGAATTTTGGTTGTGACCATGACTGAATTGTCTTTGCAAGGAAGAATGATTTTGGCTCTCACTTGAAGTCCTCTCCCTCACACAAAGAAGCATACGACCTGTTTGTAACATTAAAACAACTTAACTTTCCAACAGCAGACCAAAATGCAAAATAAGCTTCTCAGTATGCAATATGGTTGTTAATGAGTAATTGTATGTCAGGACAACAGGAATTCACTTTAAAAATTAAAACTAGAAAAAAGAAAAAAATTAATCACTACAAAACCAAGCAAACATATGAAGAGGGGAAAATTATATACCAACAATGTCAGTGCTTGAAACTCCTTCTGTGCGCTTGATCTGCTTATATCGACCAGCCTTCTTAGCAAGGGCATAAGCATCCGTTCCATCAGGTAGAATACATGGGTCATCCCCATGAATAATATAATCTATATCGTATTCATCAAACAGCTTTTTCATGAATTCTTCAGTTATAGCGTAAGGTGCATCAGGAATAACCTCATCCACCCACTTCACAGCACTGACCATAATCATCCTATAACAGGACCAGCATAAAAATATATATAAATATGCTATTTTCTAGATGGTTTCCATTTTGGCAGGACTAAATACTTTCTCAGGCAGTTTAAATAAAAGGAAATAGCATTACACGGAAGGCTCAAAATTTAATAGAGCTACAGTATTTACACATAGGCAGAGAGAGAGCATGTATCTTTAGAATATATATTTTTATAAATAATACATATATATATACACACACATTACACCCCATTATATTTACAAAATAAATTGATAGCATTACACACATACTCCCCATTATATTTACAAAATAAATTGATAGCGTTTGTAGAGGTAATGTAAAGAGAGAGAGAAGAAAAATAGATAACATGTAGAGGGCCATGAATAGTGAGAGATGAGAACAAGGGGAGAAACAAGTAAATTTTCAACAACAATAGGCTTGCATCAAGGATCAACATTAATATGGTCGTGTATACAACATATTCATTTGCACCTGTAAAGAGAAGTAATTTGATCAATTTTGTGGGTGTTAAAAGCAAAAAAGAAAAGCCAAGGAAGATATAGGCTTTGGCAGTACGAAAAACTTGATTGCCTTACTTAACTGAGGATATAGCTTTTAATAAAGTGGTGCCACATCTATCGCATGGCTAAATAAGTAAAATAAGCTTTGGAAGACTAAGGGCTAGTTTAGCATGTACTAAATAAGCCAAAAAGTCAAAAAGTCACTATCTTATTTAAGTCACATCATCTTATTTAAATCACATCACCTCTCTAACACATCACATCAAACCCAACCCAAACCCACCAATAAGTCAAAAAGTGCACTTTTTTAGGACATCCCAAACCAACCCTAAAACAAAAGCTATGGATTCTATGACCATCAAGAAGCCTTATTGGTCCAAAGGGGGAGTGTCAACAGACTGCACCCTTCTTTTTTTCTACACCCTTCTTTCCATCACTTGAAAAATCCATAATCCAATAATACATAAGTTTTTGTTGCGCATAAGCCCATTCATAAGGTTGCCATATTTTTAGCATCTGAAGTTGTCCTACATCATGAAGCCAATTGGAGAATATAGATCCATCCATCTAACGAACCCCAATTAATTTGAGAAATATAAGTTACTTTAGTCTCTGCATTCAAGCTTGTTAGACAACAACAAGCATCAGACTCAGACCCATCAAGTAAAGGGAAACAACATACAAGAAAGCTGCATATAAGCCATAAAAATTCAGCAATTACTCTTGTTTTAAAATGACTAACCACGTGCCGTATTTAACAGCCAAAAATATTTCTCATTGAGAAACACTATGGAAATGATGGTTCACTAGTCGTTTACCATGCACTGTCTAGACGGAATAATGAGTTTCACCCTCTATTTTCCTTAATTACACCAGAATATTCTTCTTTGAATAACAAAACGTAACTCCAGCTTTGACTGCCAACTCAGTGTCTGTAAATATTTGCAGTATCCCAGCTATAGAATCTCACTTGTGTTGGAATGATCAAGTTGGCTACCAAATTTATATCTTATATAACTCTCCTACGACCCAAAAAGAAAGTCAGGTATCTGAGCCTTCAATTTTTCATAATAAGGCTCATATTATATGTCAAAAACTATCTATTTTAATGCAACAGCAAGGATCCATGCTAAGCTACCTCTTACAAAACAACAATACATAAGGCACAAAAAATACGCAACTTTATGATTCATAACAAAAAGCCCGAGCCCAATCCTGGGCACACTTGCTACATCCACTAACGCTTTATCCCACTTCATCCTACCAAGGCGTTCTATGATAATTCAAGACAACAAGAAGACAAGAAAACAATAGCGATCAATTTGGGAGCATCGACAAGTAGTTTTATAAGGGCTCGTTTGGAATTGGCATTAATACATGCAAAAAAGTAGAGATAGTGATTTAATAACTTGTAATGCCTTTTAAAAACCTTTCTTGACAAACAAAACCTAAATATTGGCTTATATGCATCTAGATTTTGGACTTCTTGTACCAATATTCACCAATATATTCCTCGACACTCACCCATATCTGCTGATATAAACATACATATCCCGACACCATTATTTAAAACCATGTTGGGAATTACTCTTTCTCTCCCGCCTCAGCTTTGCAGATGGACCGAGGACGAGAGCTGAGCCCGCAATCTCTATCCAACAATAATTAAAAACAAACAAAGGCATAAATTGGTCCATCAACAACGAAAGTGCAAATGAAATCTTCACACACAATAACACATATCAAACAACAAATGTCAAAAAAAAAATCATCAATTGGTTCTCAATTGTTGCAATACCGATCTGAATCCAACAATCCCATATATATATATATATACAGTACCAATGAATTGAAAAATTTCAACGATACCTTTCCTTGAGAGGAGTAACGGGAGGGCCTTTGTTGACGGTGATTTCGGCATCGCTGACAACACCGACGACGAGCTGGTCGCCAAGGGCTCGAGCCTGACGGAGAGCGTTACAGTGACCGTAGTGCATCATATCGAAACAACCATCCATGTAAACACGAACAGGCCTGTTCTTCTTCTTCATCCTCCATTTTCCTAGAGGGAAAGTGAAATACACACCCAGAGCAGAGACTCCGAGAACCACACCTCCGATCAACCATGTCGCGATCAACTTCGTCGTCTGCAGATTTTCCGATTTGCCCGCCTCCGAAACCGCCATTGATGAAATCAGAACCCTAGCCTTGGCGGAAATGCGAGAGAGAGAGAGAGATGCTGTTGTTGGAAATGCTCTGGGTATCAGAATGCTAGGATCTGATTTCTCGTTTGCTCCTCTCGGTGCATTTTTTTCTTTTATGTCCGTTTTATTCGGATTTTATTCTTTGGGGTCAAGTTCATAAACTTGAGGAATATGTGGTCCGCACCTAATTTCATTTTGATGATTGGAATTTGAGAGGTCGGCTTAGGCTTTAGGGTTGTTTTAAAAAGTATTATTGATTTTTTTAATTTTTTTAATCTTCTCGTAGCTAAATTATATAAAAGGTAATATGAATTAAAATGAATTAAAAATTAACTTTTAATTAATTTTTCAAAAATTACTTAATAATGTGACATTTTATGAAAATATTTAAGTAAATTTATTTTATTTATTTTAATTATTAATTAATCATATTGTTAATGTATTATTGAGTTTAGAAAGTGAATTTATAAAATAAAATTTTAAAAAATTTGTAAGACTTTCAATTAATATTATTCATAAAAAAATTATACAGATCTAATAATGTAATATTTTTATTTTATTATTGTTTATCTTTGAAAAAATTGAAAACAAATATATTTTTGTGTAATTTATAAATATACTTTCTAAGATCTGTTTAAAATATAAATTGTCTATAAATTACAAATACTGCATTGTTATAATTTTTTATATGGAAAATTAACATAAAAAATAAAATTATTAACTACTCTCCTATACAATAATAAAATTACTTGAATTGATTAAAATATATTTATGATATCATTAAAAATTGCTAATTGAGTTCACGATTTACTAATAAAATAGGTCAATTGTTATGTAATTAGAAACTTAAAGAGAGAAGATGTAATTTTTAAAATCACAGGGAACAATCCGTCTTCTAAGTAAATGCCAAGGGGTATATTTATAATTTATCCTATAATTTTTGAGTTTTTGTTTTTTTTAAAAATTGTAACAATAAACTATTTATCTTTTAAAAAAATAAATAAAAATATTATAATTATCAAATCGATTTAATTTTTTTTATAAATGATTTTTTAAAAAAACTTGGTACAATATAAATAATTTTGCTCGTTAAAACAAAACATATTTCACAAACCCATCAAGTTTTTTAAACTGAGATGTGAACTTAACCCTAATTTATTCTTTTACTTTTTGTTAAATTACTGTTTCACCTTTAATTTTGGAATAAAGTGCAAAGTAGGGCGATTTTGACAGGGTAAACCCCGCGTCCAGCATACACGTTATTTAAGCGTGAAGTGATTTTTTTTTTTTTTGGAGCAAAAAGAGTATATTTATTACATCTTGAGAAAGGAGAGAACAAAGCTCTAAAGGGGTGGTGGAGGAAAGAACTTTGACAGCAAAAGTTGATGGTGGAGGCCTTTCATCAATGTCTTAAAAAACCATTTTAGCCAAGAATAGGTTTCAACAATTCGAGTTTCGTTTGAACTTTTTTAGAAGTCTAATATAGTAATATGCTTTTAAATTTGATGTGAATTCGTATAAAAATTTAAAATTTAAAATTTAAAATTAAATTTTAGTGAAATGATTTATCTACTGAATTGTTGTTGTTTGAAATCGCACGAATTTAGGGCTCTTTTTGGAACACCAGTAAAAAGTCAGTTTTTTGACTTTTCAACTTTTTTAGCTAAAAAAAATCAATTTTTTACCCAAAACAACACAATTTCTTGCCAAAAAAACCACTAAAACAACCAAAAAACCAAAAAACTAACTTTTTACCAATTTCTCAAAATACCACTTATTGATGTTGGCTGTCCTTTACCCTCATCTACCACGATTGTTACTCTATCATCCGAACAACTGGCTAGACGACTAGCATCAACAAATTTTAATAATTCAGATGAAACCAAATTCAATAAATGTAACATTACTGTAAATTTTAACTGGGTTTAATTGATGATATTCAGGAATCAACAATTCAAAATTCAAATTATATGTAATATATATAAATATTTAATATACATATTAATTGTTAGCATTGAATGATATTTTAAAATTATTTGAATTTTTAAATAAAAAACACTAGAAATTTCAAAAAATTTACCGAAAATTCTACCAAATGCATGGTGTGGGACCCATGTGAGACCTTTAGTAGAATTTTTGAGATTTTTAATATTACTCTTTTTAAATTATATTCAATGTGTATCGTCTATGCAATAAATGACAAAAATTATTGAAGTGACACATTAATTTCTTGATTATCATCTCTTATATCTCTGAGGAGTGTTAGAGATTCTAAAAGTTCTATCAAATTTTTCATCAAATGTCTTACATAGATGTGGGTTTCACGTTCATATGAGATATTTAATAATAATTTTATTAGAACTTTAGAATCTCTAACATTTTTATTGATCTCTAATCTATTTTATAATATAAAATATTTATTTTGGTATAATAGAGATGATATCATTTTCCCCCATCAATATTACTAATTAATTTATGAAAAAATGGATGTATTATGTGAATTAAAAATTTGAGGAAAACTAATATAATTATATTAAATTTGTAAAATTTACAGTTTTTTTTTTTAAATTTAAAAAAATAAAATAATAATTTACCTTAAAATTTATGGTATGAATAAATGAAATATATTAATGGGAGCTTTTTTTGATAAATCCACTTTCTAAGAGTTTTATTCCATCCAATCCATATTCTTTTTGACTATTCCATTAGGTCCTATTTGAGATAAGAAGACCAAAATACATTTTTCATCTACTTATGTTCCATTTAGTTCACATTATTTTCTTATATTT